ACAACCTTACTGAATGTCTCACCCATTGTAACACCACACTGGATGTTGCACCAATTGTAACATCTCACTGTATGTCTCACCCATTGTACCACCTCACTGAATATCGCACCCATTGAACCACCTGACTGAATGTCCCACTCATTGTACCACCTTACTGAATGTCCCATCAAATGTACCACCTTACTGAATGTCCCACCCATTGTACACCCTCACTGATTGTTCCACCAATTGTACAACCTTACTGAATGTCTCACCCATTGTAACACCACACTGGATGTTGCACCAATTGTAACATCTCACTGTATGTCTCACCCATTGTACCACCTCACTGAATATCGCACCCATTGTACCACCTGACTGAATGTCCCACTCATTGTACCACCTTACTGAATGTCCCATCAAATGTACCACCTTACTGAATGTCCCACCCATTGTACACCCTCACTGATTGTTCCACCAATTGTACAACCTTACTGAATGTCTCACCCATTGTAACACCACACTGGATGTTGCACCAATTGTAACATCTCACTGTATGTCTCACCCATTGTACCACCTCACTGAATATCGCACCCATTGTACCACCTGACTGAATGTCGCACCTATTGTAACACCTCACTGAATGTCGCACCCATTGTACCACCTTACTGAATGTCGCACCAATTGTAACACCTCACGGTATGTATCACCCATTGTGCCACCTTATTAAATGTCGCACCCATTGTACCACCTTACTGAATGATTTACCCATTGTACCACCTCACTGAAAGTCGCACCTATTGTACCACCTTACTGAATGTCGCACCAATTGTAACACTTCACGGAATGTCGCACCCATTGTTCCACCTTACTGAATGTCGCACCAAATGTAACACCTCACTGAATGTCGCACCCATTGTACCACCTTATTGAATGTCCCACCCATTGTACCACCTTACTGAATGTCGCACCCATTGTTCTACCTTACTGAATGTCGCACCAAATGTAACACCTCACTGAATGTCCCACCCATTGTACCACCTTACTGAATGTCGCAACCATTGTACCACCTTACTAAATGTCGCACCCATTGTACACCCTCACTGATTGTTCCAACCATTGTACCACCGTACTGAATGTCTCACCCATTGTAACACCACACTGAATGTCGCATCAATTGTAACACCTCACTGAATAACGCACCCATTGTACCACCTTAATGAATGTCCCGCTCATTGTACCACCTTACTGAATGTCCCGCTCATTGTACCACATTACTGAATGTCCCATCAAATATACCACCTTACTGAATGTCCCACCCATTGTACACCCTCACTGATTGTTGCACCAATTGTACAACCTAACTGAATGTCCCACCCATTGTACCACCTTACTGAATGACCCACCCATTGTACCACCTTACTGAATGTTCCACCCATTGTTCCACCTTACTGAATGTCGCATTAAATGTAACACCTCCCTGAATGTCCCACCCATTGTACCACCTTACTGAATGACCCACCCATTGTACCACCTTACTGAATGTCCCCCCCATTGTTCCACCTTACTGAATGTCGCACCCATTGTACCACCTTACTGAATGTCCCACCCATTGTTCCACCTTACTGAATGTCGCACTAAATGTAACACCTCCCTGAATGTCCCACCCATTGTACCACCTTACTGAATGTCGCACCCATTGTACCACCTTACGGAATGTCGCACCAATTGTAACACCTCACTGGATGGCTCACCCATTGTACCACCTTACTGAATGTTGCACCCATTGTACCACCTTACTGAATGTCGCACCACGCACCCATTGTACCACCTTACTGAATGTCCCACCCATTGTTCCACCTTACTGAATGTCGCACCAAATGTAACACCTCCCTGAATGTCCCACCCATTGTACCACCTTACTGAATGTCCCACCCATTGTACCACCTTACTGAATGTCACACCAATTGTAACACCTCACTGAATGTCGCACCCATTGTACCACCTTACGGAATGTCGCACCAATTGTAACACCTCACGGTATGTATCACCCATTGTACCACCTTACTGAATGTTGCACCCATTGTACCACCTTACTGAATGTTTTACCCATTGTACCACCTCACTGAAAGTCGCACCTATTGTACCACCTTACTGAATGTCGCACCAATTGTAACACCTCACTCAATGTCGCACCCATTGTACCACCTTACTGAATAACGCACCCATTGTTCCACCTTACTGAATGTCCCGCTCATTGTACCACCTTACTGAATGTCCCGCTCATTGTATCACCTTACTGAATGTTCAATCAAATGTACCACCTTACTGAATGTCCCACCCATTGTTACACCTCACTGATTGTTCCACCCATTGTACATCCTCACTGAATGTCCCACCCATTGTACCACCTTACTGAATGTCGCACCCATTGTAACACCTCACTGAATGTCCCACCCATTTTACCACCTTACTGAATGTCGCACCAATTGTAACACCTCACTGAATGTCCCATCAAATGTACCAACTTACTGAATGCGCAACCTACTGTAACACCTTACTGAATGTCTCAGCAATTGTAACACCTCACTGAATATCCAACCCATTGTAACACCTTACTGAATGTCGCACCCATTGTAACACCTCACTGAACAGGGCATTATCCGTCTTATACCCTCTATCGACCATTTCCCCTCGTATACCCTCTACTAGACCTTACCTCTCTAAACCCTCTACAGAGCATTACCCTTCTTATACCCTCTACTGGACTTTACCCTTCTAACACCCTCTACTGGACCTTACCTCTCTTATACCCTCTACAGAGCATTACCCTTCTAACACCCTCTACTGGACCTAACCTCTCTTATACCCTCTACAGAGCATTACCCTTCTTATACCCTCTACTGGACATTACCCTTCTTATACCCTCTACTGGACATTACCCTTCTTAAACCCTCTACTGGACCTTTCCCCTTTTTAAACACTCTACTTGACCTTACCCCTTGTATACCCTCTACTGAACCTTACTTTTTACATCCTCTACTTGACCTTACGTCTCTTATACCCTGTACAGGGCATTACCCCACTCATACCCTGTACAGGGCATTACCCCACTTATATCCTCTACTGGTCAGTACCCTTCTTATACCCTCTACTAGGCATAACCCCTTTTTAAACACTCTACTTGACCTTACATCTCTTATACCCTAAACGGGACCTTACCTCTCTTATACCCTCTACAGGGCATAACTAGGGCTGTAACGATGCACCTATGCCACGATACGATACGTATCACGATATCTACCCACGATACGATACATTTCGATACGATACAGGATGACGAAATGTTATGCTTCCTCTTCAAATGCGTCGCCATGTTTGATGTGTTCCCCGACTTGTAACTTAAATCTACGAAACATATGCGGCAAGTGCAGAGTGATTTTCCATCTGGGACATGTAGCAGGAATCCAAAATGCTGCCAAACAGGCGAGCGAAAGGAAGCAGCAGTTTTTTTTGTTTAACCCTTTATGCTGCTACATTGATTTCTATGTAAAGGGACACCACTGCTGAATTAATTATTGAAATGTAAATTAATTTACTTGATTTTTCAAATGTGCATAACTTGAAAAATATGTGTTATATGTGAATAAAAGTTTTATGAAAATTGTTCGTTATTGTCTGTAGTTTACATTAACGTTTTCAATTCTAAAGTTGCTTCAGTATACACCTGCACAGGTGGTAATAAAGGTAAGAAATGGTGAAACTTTTAATTAATCTGATTTAAGCACCAGAAAAATAATTTTAAAATTATTTTTATCAGCAAATGTGATTGGCAAATGATATCAGAGATTATAAACTTCATTTATGACATAAGACGCGCATTTTTACACGGAGATTATCAGGTAAAAAGATCAGGTATTTCATTAAGAATTGTATGTGATTTGCTACAGGTTTCAAGTCGTCATTCGATATATTTACTGTCACAGTCGGCATATATTATAAATATATATTAGCTACGGTCTAGTTTATGATTAAATCATCGATATATAGTTTGAAGAAATCAATCGGCTCAAAACGTTTCAATGTTAATGTTCAATTCGGCCTCACCTGCAGACGACATGTGCGCCTCGGTCCGCCGATATTTACCTGTTTGCGTAGGTCACAAAGCCGTTCATTGGAAAGTAACATATTATGTTACACCGAAGTATTTCAACATCAATCATGTCAAACCCTTCAAAACCTTTATTATCATCGTAGGTGACACAGGAGAATAAATGTTTACGTTACATATGTATAGTTAAATTCCGTAATACTAAAAACCGAACCGAACCGAAACACGAAAACAAATACCGTAAACCGAACCGAAGCAATTTGGCGCGGTTTTCAGTGCACCGTAGAAATTACCCTTCTTATACCCTCTACTGGACCTTACCCCTCTTGTACCCTTTACTCGACCTTACCTCTCTTAAACTCTCTACCGGGTCTTACCCCTATCATACCCTCTACTGGAACTTACCCTTCTTATACCCTCTACTTGACCTTACCCTTCCTATACCGTCTAATGGACCTTACCCTTCTTACACCCTCTACTGGACCTTACACTTCTTATACCATCTACTGGACCTTACCTATCATATACGCTTTACTGGACCTAACCTCTCTTATACCCTCTACTCTCTTATATCCTCTACTGGACCTAACTCCTCCCCTTTCCAGAATACAATACTACAACCTTCAACTTCCCGGACTACAAAACAACAACCATCCACTTCCCAGAATACAATACTACAACCCTCCACTTCCCGGACCACAAAAGGACAACTCTCCCCTTCTCGGACTACAAAACGACAACCCTACCCTTCCCGACTACAATACGACAACCCTCCCCTATCCGGACTGACATAGGACAAATCTCCACTTCCCGGACTACAATACTACAACCCCCCCTTCCCGGACTACAATACTACAAACCTCCCCTTCCCGGACTACAATAGGACAACCCTACCCTTCCCGACTACAGTATGACAACCATTCCCTTTCCGGACTACAACACGAAAACCCTCCCCTTCCCGGACTACAAAACCATAACCCTCCCCGTTTCGGACTACATCACGACAACCCTCGTCTTCCCGGACTACAACACCACAACCCTCCCATTTCCGGACTACAACATGACAACCCTCCACGTTTCGGACTACAACACGACAACTATCCCCTTTCCGGCCTTCAACACGACAACCCTCCCCTTTCCGGACTACATCACGACAACACTCCCCATTTCCGGACTAAAACACGAAAACTCTACCCTTTCCGTATTAAAACACTACCATCATTACCTTTCCCGACTTCAACACTACAACCCTCCCCTTTCCGGACTACAACCAAACAACATCCCCTTCACGGACTACATCACGAAAAACATCCCCTTCCTGGACTACAACACGGCAGCCCCCCTTCACGGCCTACAACACGACAACTCTCCCCTTCCCGGATTTCAACAAGGCAACCTTCTTCCCGGACTACAACACCACAACCCTCCCATTTCCGGCCTACAACACGACAACCCTCCACGTTTCGTACTACAACACGACAACTATCCCCTTTCCGGACTTCAACACGACAACCCTCCCCTTTCCGGACTACAACCAAACAACCTCCCTTTCGCGGACTACATCACGAAAAACATCCCCTTCCTGGACTACACCACGGCAGCCCCCCTTCACGGCCTACAACACGACAACTCTCCCCTTCCCGGACTTCAACACGGCAACCCTCTTCCCGGACTACAACACCACAACCCTACCCTTTCCGGACTACAATACGACAATCCTCTTCTTTCCTGACACTAACATGATAACCAATTCCTTCCCGGACTACAACACGACAACCCTCCCCTTTCCGGACTACACTACGACAACCCGCCCTATTCCGGACTACAATACGACAACCGTCCCATTTCGAACTACAACACAACTTTTGCCATCTCTACTTGCATATCTTCTTTTCCAGACCAACGTTCTACTTTATATTGTGAGTGTGTGTGTTTCCCCACCCTTCCGTCCTCCTCCCTCCCCCTCCTTGATGCACGGCAGTCGTCGTATTATCGACAGAAATCGTGTCACAAAACTCACACCACAACGATAATCAACTAATCTCATTATCAGCTGTGCCATCCATTTTTTTCTATGACACATAAAACCAATTGAGAGAATCAATAAACGGCATCGATATCTAGTCATTGTATGATGTTTAGTGTGTGTCCTCTAGGCGTCTACCTATAGAGGAGCTGAGAGTCAACGCTATTTAATTAGTCCGCAATTCCATACCAACTTTTCATGTATAACATAATTAGGTTAAACCCACAGCTTGTAATGTTTCATTTGTCTTCTGTTTGAACTGACGAATCAATATGTGTGATGTTTCATGCAAATAACTCGTCGTCGCTAATCATACATGTCTGTAACCATCTGACGGAGCCAAATCAAAGTTTGCAGTCATAATCATGAACGATCACTGCCGTAAGACCTGGAGAGTTATCTGGACTGGGTATTTACATTAAGGCGTATAAACAATTGGCTTCCCCGAGGGAATCATATGAGATAGGCCTAGCCATGTCTACCTGTACACAGAAAATCTACACACACGAGTACATTCTTCAGCGAGTGAAGGCGATATTATAATAAACCCAGTTTATGCGATTATCTGTCTTACACACATCAGTGACACACTCTATCGACTAGGGTTTCATTATTATCATCGTTAGTAATGTGATAGCACAGTAGTAGATACATGTGTGGCGTCACCGCACGGCTCAAATTAAATAGCAAATACATGAATGCAAGTATATAGGAAAATTACTTTCTTAACACAGCTATCCTCGAAGAAACAGGACACGCATCCAATATGTATATTCGCCATTCAGAGGTATAATGTGGTGTGGTGATAATGTATTAGTGTGATTAGCATAATTTGTAGGATTACAATTGATGATGATGCATGAACTGGCCGTGTTAGTTTGGCTCCTGTACCCGAAGGGATGCATTGTGCTTCCACGTTAGTGCCAAACCATCCTTTGTTATTGCTGAACCTTGAATACGGTATATACGGGGATTACCATATTAAATGTCTCTATATTAGTTTACCCTGTAGGCAAGAGGGCCCCTTATGTTGATGGAAAACCCTACTTCCTGTGTAACGATAGAGGAAGTACACACTCTAGAGCACACACACTTGCCTCACGGTGATATCACCGACTCCCCCGTAAAACAGATAATCGCGTCCATCAGACACATGCACTATTTAATAATGTGTTCACATTTACACTTGTAATCTAACCCGTTCACGGCTTCTGTTCACTCCGTGATAAGTATACCCGATGACAGATGAACATTTCTCCCTAATATATCTCACCCTTGCTACTAATAATGTGATGCGTGTTATAAATACATGCTGCCCCGGCCTTGGGTCGCTCTACATATAAACAAATGCATCACTTTAAATGAAAATTCCTCTCCAATGCTGCAGGTGAACATGTCGCCTGGCAGATTTGGAGGTGCATACATATGTGTGTAAATGTACTTACCAATAAATCCTGTAAGATTCAGTTTCTCCCAATACATCAGTAATGTTCCATTGGGCTAGCTATACCGGCTAGAATGGTGACGTTATTTACAATTGTACCACACAAATCGCTTGATATTCCAGGCATACATCACAGAAATATCACAGAAATTGACACAAAGTTCTCAATTTTTAAATCCATATCATAAAAAACGGGTTACAGATGCAACAACATGGACCTGGTCTCCGCCACCATTCACTTGAATTCAGCATCCACATCTAAACACATAGACTTATGCATAAATCATCCTCGACATCAAAACGAGGCTTGTCGTCTGCTCAGCGCGTGGATGCTGCTGTGAGGAAGTGGAGCGCACGGGTCTCCTGTCATGAATGAAAAGAATTAGTGTTGAAAAGAATATTTATAATTACGATATTTTAGAGTTCACAGATAAATACATCAGCAGCACGTTTAACATGCTGTCGAAGGAAGCAGGTTAATGCCAATCTGACATAGAATTCATTATTCATGTGAAACGTATCAATGATGACACAGAACTCATTATGTTTGGGATACGATCGATAAGCTCATGGCAGACTCCGCGTGTATTCAGCTAGATATTTTAATGTTCAACCGATTGATGGGAATCTTTTCTCTCTCATTTTTTGGCCTTTCGTTCTCTCTTGATCTTTCTATCACTGTTTATAACGATAGCTATGTGTGTGTATACTGATTCCAGCTGAAGCATAATTAAATATTTATTTTTAATACTTTCCTTAGATATTTTCGCTCTTTAGGTCGATACACCTACGAAATGAATGCGATATATTTATCTGAATATCTTATCTCATTTTTTCTCGCAAACACTGCATATTATTACAATCTATGTCTATTTATATGTCTTTCAAAGAAATTTGATCCGATATCCTATACGTACAAGTGTTTTCCTGTAGTAATGGCGATCGTTTGAAATACATGGAATATTGAATTCACTGTTTGACCACATGTCATTACGGAAATTGGTAAATAAATGTTTTTTCTTCCCTTTTTATTACCGAGTTGACGCTATTTACGACAGATTATGTTTTCATAACTATATGATATTATCCAAGTTTTAAGTCGATTTACATTACTTGCGGGGGAGTCGATGATACAACAGCATCACGGGGACTTTTGTCAATAAAACAAGATAAAAGGACTCGAGGACAATCACTCAGTCTGGATAAATCAAGGAGCAGGCTGGACTTATGGAAATACTCATTTACTCAACGAATTGTTAGCGACTGGAATCCCCTATCTAAGAACCTGATTCAAGCACCAATTATAACAACTTTTGAAAACCGCATTGATAAATTTTGGGAAGGTGATGAAAGGAGATTCACAATAACATTGGCGTGACGTCACATCAAAAACATTGTTATTTATCATGATGAACTATATATAGACTATGATCTGAATATAGAGGCAGATATGCCTGCGTTCAGAATAAACTAAGTTAAACTAGTAAATTAACATACTTCTGCTATTTTTTTGGAAGACTTGTGAATGTAGTTGGCTGTTGATATACAACAATCGATTTCTAAACAACTTTTGAAATCAGTTTCTTTGACGGTTGAAATATGTGACGCTTCTCTCATGAAAGTGTTGCTTTCTCTATAACAAAAGACGGTTTAAATGCGTCACGTGACGATATTGGATCTTCAAATCGGTCATCTTTTATCTTTAGCATGTCTTTTGATGACGTCTGTTTTTACTGTTTTTGTTCGATATGTCAACTTGCCTATTGGGTATACCTAACTGTGTCATACCAAACCGCATAGAGGCGGTATCCCTATTATACGTGTTTGGGGAGACCCTCCTACTACATCTAATCAGACCTTTCAGATAATATTATTAAACTGAGTTATAAAATACATATCAAACATTTATACATTGTTATTTTATATATTTCACGTAAAGATAGTAGTGTCTACATTATTCTCTGTGTATTAATGCTGTTTTATGCAATCATCATTGTTTGTTGAATATAAGGTTCATCAATGTCATTTTGCTGAAGATTTTTCCCTTGAATGTTGATTCTGTTGTGAACTATTGCCCTTGTGTGTTGACATTGTTATATACAATTTTCCTTGTGGATAGTTATTGTAATTTATTGCTCTTGTGTGTTGACATTGTTTTATATAAGTGTCCTTGTGTTGAGTCTGTTGTATACTATTGCTCTTGTGTGTTGACATTGTTTTTTTATATTATTGTCCTTCTGTTGAGTCTGTTGTATACTATTGCCCTTGTATTTTTTCATTGTTATATATTATTGCTCTTGTGTTGATTCCGTTGTATATTATTGCCCTTGTGTGTCAACACTGTTATATAGTAATGCCCTTGTGTGTTTACATTTTTTATATAATTGTCCTTGTGTTGAGTCTGGTGTATACTACTGCCCTTGTGTGTAAACACTCTTATATAGTATTGCCCTTGTGTGTTGACATTGTTTTATAAAATTGTCCTTGTGTTGAGTCTGTTGTGTACTATTGCTCTTGTGTGTTGGCATTTTTTTGATATTATTGTCCTGGTTTTGAGTCTGTTGTATACTACTGCCCTTGTGTGTAAACACTCTTATATAGTATTGCCCTTGTGTGTTGACATTGTTTTATTTAATTGTCCTTGTGTTGAGTCTGTTGTGTACTATTGCTCTTGTGTGTTGGCATTTTTTTGATATTATTGTCCTGGTTTTGAGTCTGTTGTATACTACTGCCCTTGTGTGTTGACATCGTTTTATCAAATTGTCCTTGTGTTG